CCAATACTGAAAGAAAAACATACCAGACCTCTCTAAACATGACAATCCAACTGGAGGTCAACTCAGACTCCATCATGAACTTCAGTCTGTTCTTCAGGTTCGCGCAACAGTCCTTGAGCACTTGTTCCATCTGGATAAGAAAACTAAGAACGATATATATTCTTACATTTATATATTCAGTATAACACTAACTCTCCTATAGTCTGTTTTCATTGTAGAGGCCATTAGCAGACATGACAGTGTCATTAATCGGCCTCATCTATGCTTAATTATGTACCACAGGGTGACTCCGGATCAGGAATCCAGCAGGACCCATGGGACTCCTGCAGTGCCTTACCACTGTGTCTTCAGGATGGCAACGGTTTATAAAACCAAGCCTGGGGACGAGAGTGCCTGTATAATTTATGTGACAGCTTCAACATCATCATCCAGGAGCAAATTAATATGCTCAAGGTCAACGTGTCTCATCATTTGGTTGAGATACATGAAGGAAATTTGCTACAAAGGAAGCGAGCAGGTACAGGGATAGAAGCCTCGATGCTGCACCGTCTAGCAACAGCTTTGCATGAAAAATCTTTTGCCTCAGAGTGAGGACCAACAGGAATGGGACCAGGACGGGACTGAGGGGAAATGAATACATCTGAAGCAGAAAGAACAGGAAGAAAAATTCATTTCAGTGTCATGCTGTGTGTGGTGATTCCAATGTGAAACCCTGTCAACAACACTGACATCCGACAGGTACTGAGTGGTTTCTCGCTGCTCTATTTTAACCAGGTTAGCCTTAAAAACACAACATTGGTGTGTTTGCCGTCATGGGTTAACTCACAGTGAAGGTAAGCAGGCAAACAGACCACGAAGGAGGTGCTTTACCTTAGAAACACAAAAATGACCATGTGAGACTGAACAAAAGGCAAATAAAGGTTAAATCTTGATGGTCAGGACAAGCCAGTGTTTGCTCTCATAATTAGATTCCCAGACGACAGTTCAGAAGGCCAACAATGGAAAATGGTTTGAGCCTGAGGATGATTGTCTTTTGCTTTAGTTCAAACAATAACCGATAACGAGAGTCTGAGAAAATTCAAATGGGCTTAATGTCACACTGAGGCTGACCAGCAGAACAGCTGTTTTACATTAAGGCACGATTGATTCGAGCTTGTTGTCCACATGAACAAGCAAGAGTATGAGGAGGAGATCCTAGCGTACACTGTTGCAGGCTTTAAAAAAAAAAAAAGGCAAACTTGGATATTTAACAGTATGACAGCATCTCAGGACAATACTTGTTTTTTAGGTACAACAGGAGGCACAAAAACTGGTATTAAGAATTCTGTTCCCTTTAACAATAATGCCAGAGATTTGCTTTTTCTCGTTTCCCAAATACAAGGATTTGATGCTTTTCTTTGAGATGAGAGTGCCTAGCGACAAGCAGTCAAAGACCTCTCCAGAGCCACTGAAGAGGGTGGACAGTGGTTCTGGGTAAAGAGAGAGGAGTGGACCCAGGTTGCCAGGATTCACCACTCAACCTTTCAGAAGTGCCAATCAGTGAAACAGCAGGAAAGCAGGCACTCACTTGATAACCCAGAAGATGCCACCGGTCACCTGGCCCCTCGACAGTGTCAGCAGCATGCGTCAGAAGCATATTTGAAAGATACTACATAACAGACCTACTACGAACATTAAGCCATCCAAATCTCTTGTAAACTGTACGTTTTTTCGGGGGGAGGGGGTTTGCCTTTATTTGTTAGGACAGTGAGAGAGTGAGACAGGAAAGGGGGGAGAAGAATGGGGAGAGACCTGCAGCAAACTGTCGTGAGCGGGAGTCGAACTCACGACCGCTGCATCAGGGAACTACAGCCCCTGTTCATGGGTCGCCCGCTCTACCAGGTGAGCTATAGGGCGCCCCCGTGAACTGTAAGTTAACTTGTGTGCAATAGGTGACACACCGCAGGTGGTGTCAAGTAGCTAAGTCCAGCTTAACATTTAGCAGACTATACCTCCTGTAGAAATACAACTCACCTTACCATCCTGCACGTCCAGTCCAGGCTGCATGTCTCTGGACTTATTACCAGCTAGTTCAACACAATACACCTCATTCAGGATAGTACTCTGAACTTGGCTGTGGTTTAGACATCTGAACACATTAACTTGCAGAAAGGAGACACTTTTGTCATTGTATGAACAAAAACATTAATCAAAAATTCTGAAAAATACTTATCTGATAAATCAATAATGGAAATGGTAATGTGACAAAACAATGACTGGCAGAAATAGAAAAGGGTTAATACTAGACAATCGACAAGCTGACTGAGTACATAACAATATCAAAAATGTGCTATTTTTAGCCATCTAGGAGCAAATTCATGCAGACCATGTGTCTGCAAGTGTCCGTGGGACATTATTTCGTCATCCATCCAAGGCTGTGAGGTTACACACAGACTTCTCTGCGGATATCCGTGTGCAGCCTAAAAAACTGTTTCTGTGCAGATTGTATGCACAGCAAGCACTGCACATGCACCAGGAAAACAAATGGTGCTTAAAGCAAATGTTTGTTTAAGTACGAGGAGATTCTCCATCATCCACACCTTTGCTCATATAATTAATTATTAGGAGTTGCTATTGAAGCAGTTGCTGCCAGACTTTGGAGGTGCTTTGATTTATACGTGCTTTCCACCGACAGTGTCCAAACACAGAGGGAAGTTTTAAATTCTCCAGAAATCCTGTGCTGTGTGCACCCGCTGCGCTCGGCACACTTCACGAATAATCACATTGACACGGTGATACAGGCCAATCTGCACCCAGCTGTTATATCCCATGGAAAGCGCAAAGCCGACGTCGGCCTTTCAGGAATATTCACAAGATCCCTGTATGTTTGTCTGTGTTCGATATGAGGGACAATGCGAGCAGCTGAAATGTACCTATTGTGGTAGGAATAGAGCTGTGTGTGTGTGTGCAGTGTCCGCTTTTGAAGTCTGCGTCATGCGGAAATCCTGAACAAGCCTCAAGACAGCAGCAGCATAATTTATTAAATGGTGAAAGAATATGTTTTATTTTCATGAATTCAGTTTTTCATTGGTAAAACGGTGAGTGTGCCATTTCTGCTTTCAATATGCACACAGCCCTGCTTTATATCCAAAGCACCCATAACACAGCAAAAACTAGATTTATAACAACTTTGGCAAGATGAGCAGTTTCACAAAGTACAAACATGTTACACTGACAAATCCCATCATTCTATCTAAACCAAATGGACTTGAAGCTTTCAATAAGCAGAAAAACAACACTGGCAACTTCAGCTGATCCTATTGACCAGTTCTCTATATCTGTCCAGTCTTGTTTTGTTTATCCCACTGTCCATTTACATTCAGTGTATTCCATTTCATTCATAATAGGAAAGAAAACGATCTGTGTACATTTTACATTAAAGACTTTAATCAATACTTGCAGAGTGGCACGCCTTGTTCAAATACACCACAACTGTAAGATGAAGCTGTTAAGTGGGTTTACGTTTGTGATGGTTGTAAACACGAGAGCCGGCAGCCATTAACTCTAAGTAGCAAAGCAAAAGTTTAACGAAGAATATTTTCCATCTCAATATAAAACTCTATGAGAGGATAATGGGGAAACTACATCAAACTTTGGAAGGCCTGACGCATTTTACATGCAATAAAAGGGGATCAGGGTCAGACTGCGCTGCCCGACACACAATATACAACAGGCCTAATAGTGGAAACAGCATTAAAAACAGTCCACAAAGACTTCATTCAACCTACAGCTTCATCACAAGGGGTGCCGACAACACACTGCCTTATACATGACCAGCACACACACCCATGGCAGGAAACATTCTTGAATGCGAATGTTGGCTCAGTCTGTTAGAAGTCTGGTGGAGGGAGAAAAAAAAAATCCACAAGACACCCAAAGCGTGGTGCTTGTGAGAGGCAGGCTATTTATAGGCTTACTCGAGTGAGAGAGACGGCTCTTCCCTCATGTTTGGGATCAGCACTTCACACGGGTGAGAGGAGGAAGTGGGGGGACTCTCTATTGACACAACACTGAAAGTGACACAAAGCGTTTGAAGTTGAAGCACCTAATTGTAACAATTACACTTTGCACCATATACCATTTGGCACCACTGGGTGCTCAGCTGCAGCCTTGCGCTGGCACAGGTACGACGAGAATATGTGATAACAATCGTAGATAGGAACACTCCTTAAGAGGCTTGACACACCCAATTTTACACAGAGCATGCTTTTGATTTCCTTATTGCAGCCAGCATGTGGCAATATCTGACATTGCTTGTGATGGGATGCTGGTGATGCTGGAATCCCCAATCAGTACAGTGTCTACTCTGTTACCGTTAGTTCATTGAGATGCAGCAGAACAGAGCTGACATGAATGAACAAGGTGTGAGACGTAAGCTGGTTCACTTTATGGTGCAAGCAAACCTACAGGGGAATGTGTGCAGGAGGCAGCTCCAGTGATGCAGACGTAAACAAAATGCTCCTTTAGTTATTTAGCAGAAGGCAAGAGAGCAACATCTGCAACATGCTTCCTAGAAATCAAAGAAATCTCCTGCAACATGCATAAGTTTGGCTTGTACCTGCTGTGATGCACACAGACGGACCCACAGCAGCCTAACATGTGAGTGGAGCTGCTCTGATTACCTCAGGGTTGGATCTTGACCATTCTAGTCATGGCAACACTACAGCAGAGACGGGCTACAGGTTACACGCATGTGATCGTTGTCATTCATACAGAACAGGCAGGAGAGCATAAAGAAAAAAGTGGGTCAGTGCATTGGTGGAGCACAGAGACAGCATGTGTCTTCTGGTTCTCACAGGCCCATGTGTTTACAGTACAGACGACCTGACACACACACACACGAGTCGTGACCAGCTGAGACGGTATGTAGCATAGCATGAAGACGGTGTGGACTGTGTGAGAGAAAACACAAACAGTGGTGTGTGTGGAGACAGACAGTGTTCATCAGTGGACAAACTCACATCCTCGAACAGGGATCCAACGTTGGCTGTCACCAGCAGTATCCCTGTGCCTTGCGCTGCTGTCAGCTTCCCTGCCATAATTCTCTCTCGCAGGTGGGTCGGGGACTTGTACAGCGGACTTTAAAGGTAAAAGCGTTAAAAGAAACTAAAAGAATAAAATGTTTGACAAAAAAAAAACGGCCAGCGAATGTCTCACGAAACTGGTTAAAACACGGGGAATTTGAAGCCGGGGTTGAGGCGGCTTGGCTGGAGCATATTTTTTCAGCAGTGGCCGTGCATCTACCAGGAGTTGCTTTGCAGTAGAAGGTCCGTTGGTGGCGGCGGTTAGCTTCTCGGGCTACTTTTTCACGTTCAGAGCCATCGTTAAAAGTTTCCGTTTTTTTTTTTTTTTTTAATCCACGGCGAGTGCCGGAGGGCTCTGGTTCATTTCAGCGACGAGTGTTCGCCTAGCTTTCGTGCGGTGTAAAAGTCTCCCTCCTAAAGCAGGACGCTGTGCCAGGACCATTGCCTTCACCGTTCAGAGGATAGGCTGGAGCCTCCGCCGCTCTGACGTCACCGCGCCAATGGAAACACGGCGCTGCCTTAAAGGGCCAGAGCAGCGTAAACACCGCGGCTCTGCAAGCCCGCACCGCCGCGTCCATTATCGGACAGCGCAGGGCTATCCCCGCGCTGACTTCTTGTTTGTCTTTCCCACTTTGTCCTCGTAACCATGACTGCAAATTGAATTTCTTTTCGAATCGAATAACTGGCTTTTGTTTGTGCCACTTCCACTTTAATGTAAGGCACATTAGGCAGACTGACACAGTCCCAACATTGCCCAACAACAGTTAGTTCAGGATGCGCTGCCAGGCTCCAACAGCCTGACAGTCAAATACAGAGTTAGGTTCAAAATGTTCCTATTTGATGATAAAGCCCCTAATGGTTTACTTCCACAAACTCCCATTTTCTTCACTGAGGCCTCTTACATCATCCTCACAGTTGCGGTTCTCGATCCCCCATTTACACCTCAAACCCAAAGGTGACAGGGCTTTTTCGGTCGCTATACCCATTCCACATTAAATCCTTTCCCACTATTAGTAATTTCAAATCCCAACCAAAAGCCCACATGCTCTCCCTTGCTTTTAGTTCCTAAAGCTGCTGTAGTCTTGTTGGTTGCCAGACTTCATTTGCTTTTCTCTTTTACTCTTCTGCTATTGTAGATCTTCTTCTTCTTTATCAGGTTTATGTGACTACCTGAACACATCAGTCCTTGTCATGCCCTCTATGCCGTTACATTTGCTGTTGCATGCTACTAATTTAGTAGTTTGTGCTTTGTCCTCTCATGTCTTCTCTCTCAGGTATTTCTGATTATGGAGCTGTGAAGGTCTGATCTGTGGTCGACCGGTTCTTTTAATTCACTCGCGTTTATGTCCTCTTGCTTGTTGTCTGTTTTTTTTGACACACAAAAACACTAAGCATGGTTATGCACAATCCAAATCCTCTTTTCTTATTTCTTTGTGGCAGCAGTACAGTTCCATACTGAGTGGTTGTATGTTTGTCCATGAATAGGACTGATGGCCGTCGCTCATGTCATGTTCATATTTCAAGCAGAAACAAACGCTGCAGAGCACATGCATTTGAAATCGCAGCCTAAATAAGTAAGTCCACTGGCTACATATCAGTGTCACCACAGTCGAATCAATGATGGATTCCTTTTGGTAGAGATGGGTGGGAGGAGATGAAGCTTGCCTCACTACTACTGCGACCTGCTCGGGCTTGTCGTCTAGTCACAAAGTGTACACCAGGTGCAATTAACGTGTTACGGGCAGAGTCATTTCTGCTTACGTAAAGTTTACCGTGAAGGAATCTGCACTCCGAAGAGAACTGGGCAAGCTGTGGGGGAGAGACCTAGACCTTACCTAACACTGTGGGGTTGGATTTTTTTTACATTTCATCACTATATTCATATGTTGCCTGGAGTGTTAGCAAAAACAAAATAGACACATGTGCTGTCACTGGAGGCACACTTGCTTCATCCATGGCACTGAGATCAGCTGCACGACTTGAAGCTGTGCCAGCTAACAATACCAGTCAAGTTGATTTGAAACAGATTGTAAATTTTATTAGCATTAAATGAATCAATCGCACTGTTCTTTTCAATAAAGACTTTGACCCAAACAATCACAAATTCACCATCTAACAATAACAAATAATTTTAATGGGGACATAGAGTATGCTAATTTCTGGCTCTATATTTTTATTTCCACTAAACAGCATTTGGATGATTCACAGTTTTTAGAAAAATCTTTAACTCGTGCAGCCTTTCATGCAACCTGAAACAGGTCATATTAGCTCCGTACTCTTTAAAGTCCCCCTTCCGAAAACCACTTCATCCACTTCATCCTCTTGCTGGCATACAGGTGCCAAAATCAAACTGTAAACCTACAAAATAACATCATTTCTCATTCTTGGCTTGAAATGGTAACTTCTTAAATTCGTTCATACAAGTTTGAGGCAGAGAGCCCAAGTTTGGTACATATTACGCTCATTACCTGTGTATTGTGTGACATAATGGTAGTTTTGTTCTTTTCAAGCTGTAAACCATGTTCTATATAAGCCCCTGTTAATAGATGTATGTGTAGGAAAAGGGCAGTAATGTCTACTGAAGTAGAAAACATCTAGTGTCTGGCAATACCACCGTTAACGTAGCTAGGAAACTGTGTCTCCCTGCTCCGTCTGTGATTTGCATGCTAGAGTACATTAAATCCTATAGTACTAGTCAAGTAGGCTGTTTTGCGAGACGTACACAAATTTACCAAGTGGACCATGGTTTAAACTGAGCTGTGCATTGGACAGAAAGTCATAAAAGTAGAAGACAAACATTGAAAATCCGGTATTTAGATATTTCTGACCACTTGGGGACAAGAAGGCAAAACAAACACATACCAATAAGTCTTTACAACACGTCATTATGTTCTTATATATGTATTTTATATGTATGCACTTGAAACAAACCATGATTGTATTTGGTCGCAGAACTTCAACAGAACACTCCCTGTCAGTATATATATGGCAATTCTCAGTTATATAAAGGTTCCCTGCAAGATGAAAACAAAACCTTTGTGTTGAATGACATGAAGTGAACAATTTTAACAAGTATGAATGTAGTTTGTTTCAAATTGCAACCAAATGCTATGGGAATTTGAGACACAATGGAGCGACTTTTATAATTGTTCATAGGTCTTAGCCTTGAAAACAACCTCCACAGTCTGGTGAATTCCTAACAGCAGATAGCCATTGCATTAGTCTGTGTAACTGGGCTCAGTCAGCAGTGTTTAGCACACAGCTAAAATGGTTCTAAGCTATCATGTCCCAACATGTTGTGCTACACAATTCAAACTATAATTGCCCTTTCCATTGCATGCGGGATCCTTCCACAGACCTAGTTACAATTTGCCAAATGTGGATACGCACTCTTTGATCTACAGATTTCCTGTTTAGGTTTTGGCAAGAAGAACTTGGAAAATTTCATATTTAAAGACTGGAAACCAAATCAGTGTGCATGACTGGATTTTGCCAAGGGTGCTTAGAAACACAGCCAAGTCCTCATGCACGGATTATTGTGAATGAGAATGGCTTACGCTGACTTTTTTTTCCTGGCATCACAAAACCTGTTTGTTGACAACATATCCCTCATGCAGCACAAGCTCACCTGTTCAGGACTGAGATGGGAAAACTCAAGTAACCTCACTGGAGACGTGATGTTTGAGTGCCAGCTGAGGCTGTGTAGTACACCTGATTAGAGTAAGTATAGGTCGAGTTGATCATGTTCAACAGAGGGTCACGCACACCTGTTTGATGCACTGGGATGACAGTTGTGATCATCGGCCAAATTTAAGGAAGAAAAATGATCAGTGCTGTTACTTTTTGCCACCTTTGTGAAACCTAACATCTGGCAACAACACAGCATGATCTATCTGCATCATTTCACAGATCATCATGTATTAATTACACACATGCTTTTCATGCAGCATGATGTGATCTCCCCTGATGGATTTGAGGGAGCCCAGGACCATAAATAGCCCACTCCAGTCAAAGGTAGTTTGAGGTCAACAGCTTAGAACAGGCATATGACACGCCGGATAACAGCGCAATGAGCTCCTGCTCCTAAGAGGACGGATGAAGTAGCAAAATAAGAGTGAGAGCTAACTTCATTGAGTAAGTCAGATGGATGTTTAAGTCTCAACAGTGTTGCTACTTAGAATTTTGTGTGAATTGTGCTGTACAAAAAAAATCACATTTAGAGAGTATACAGCTGTGCAGACATGACACAAGGGAATGGTGGCAATTCTCAAATGAGTCAAGCATGGCTCATACAGTTATTATGTCAACGGCATCAGGCTAGTGTGTGTGTGTGTGTGTGTGTGTGTGTGTGTGTGTTTGGGGAGGGGGACCACAGTCATGGCTCACTTAGAGTCTTTGAAGAGAGCTGAGAGATTATCGCCAAAATGCGAGTGCTCACAGCTGTGTCTGGCATGACAGAGGGACAGTTTGTGTGTGTGTGTATGTGTGTGTGTGTGTGTGTGTGTGTGGAGAGAGAGAGAGTGTGTGTCTTTGCGACTTCCATGTCATATTTTAGTTTGTATCAGTGTATGTTTATTTGTACGGTGGTGTCTCACCATGTTCTGTATGCGTGAACATGATATGCCGCATAATATCCATTATCAGTCATTCAGACACAGAAGAGGATAATGATAACATTCAAGGGAAAGAAATCAGTGCCAGTTCTATTGTGTGCGTCGTCTGCTGTGTGTACGCATACAGAGCTTTAATTAAAAATGGATCAGACAGGCCTTGAAAACAATCCAAACTCGATGATATCTCTTTTTCAGAATATTCCACCCAGAGCTGTGTGACTGTGTGGACCGTACTTGAACATTCTTAGTCTGACTGACTAATGTTTATCATAAGTTTAAATTTGGTTCCTCTATATGTTTACATGAAGTCGTGCTGCGCTTGGATGACTGAGAGTTAATAGTTTTACTCAGAGGGAGGCCTAAAGAAGACGAAGCTAAAAAAAATACCATTAGCGGTGTCCTTAATAGGCAGAAGCAGGAGGAGAGAGAGAGAGAGACGGGGAGGATGAAGAAGGCAGAAGAGCAAGGAGAGGACAATGACGCTGGTGCTTCACTTCTGCAGAGCTCACAAAGCTCAGTGAGAAATAACATATGAAACCAATCTAGTTGTAAGCTTTTTGACATTTGCAGCACCAGTTAACCACTCAAGCATGTGAGCTAAGCACTGAAAAACTAGAAAATGCAAGCAGCAACAAACAAGTGACAAAAACTGCAGGTTCTTCACTGGCCACTAGAGGCGAGTTTGTAAAAGCAGGTCAATCCCTATAGACGACAATGTTAAAATGTCCAACTTTGTAGAAGAAAAAGCATGTTTACAGCCTGGTACAAAAAATGGTTCTGGTCTCTATAGCTTATTTACCCGTTTATGTCAGCTGTACAGGGGGTGGATTTTGATGTACTTCATTACTTTAAAA